TGGCCCGCCGCGAGCTGCTGGGCGACCGGCCGCGCTGGCAGCGGCTGCTGGGCGAGGACAAGTTCCAGTGGCTGGCGGGCTTGGCTCCGCCCTCGCTCTTCGTGCGCGCCATGCAGGTGCTGGTCACCGCCATCTCTCCTGGCCGCTTCCCCGAGGCCCTGGACGAGCTGCCGCTGCCGCCTTTCCTGCAGCCGTTGGACCTCACGGGCAAGGGCTAGACACGGGCGCAGCCAAGGTGCTGAATTTTGGGACAAAACTATTTTTTCAGAGCGTGTACCTGGCACTTTACATATATTGATCTCTCTATAGCAGAATCTCTGCCTCATCTGTCGCATGCACTGGGGCTGGATCCAGACTGGCTTCGAGCAGCAGGTGTTCTGTGTGCAGCAGGGCACAGCTTCCAACCCTCTTGCTCGAGCTGGGATGAAGGGTTATGTCCTCAGCTCAGTGCCCAGCTTCGGAAACGGGTGAGGACCAGTCTCCCACATGGATCTACAGCCTCAGAGAAGGGTCCCAGAGGGGGTGATAGCTGAGCTCAGCAGAAGTTGGGCAGGGGGTGGGGACTGATGTGTCCAAGCATGGGGACAGCATGTGCAAAGCCTTGAGGCCAAGAGAGCAGGCCCTGTGAGGCTCTGATAGGAGGTCCTGCTGTGTGTCAGCATTTAGGGCCTTGTAAACTCCACGGTCCAGCTGTGATCTGATCCTGAGGGTCCGGGCTGGCTGGGCTGGCTGGAGTTGGGGAGAGGCATGACCCAAGCTGTGCCCCACGTACCCTCCACCCCAAACTGGCCACCATCCCTCCTTGGGTGCCATTGTGGCTCCCTACCCTGCCCATCAGCAGCTGACCCACCCAGGGCTGGATTGTTCCTGTCACCCCTTTTTGCCCTCCCCCTAAAAGTAGCAGGCATGAGGCCTTGGGCTCCTGATTCTCTCACTTCCACCACTACAGCGGCTGCTGCCCCGGCCCCCAGCCACACCCCCTCAGTGGGTTACATGTGCCTTCCTCCAGGCCGGCTCCCTTTGTCCAGCTCCTGCGGGTGGGCTCCCTGGCCCAGCCCACAGTGGGTCTTAGGTGGTGCCCATGGGCAACTGAGGGGGTGGCCACACCACCCTGTGGGAAGACTTATCCCAGCCTGGGAAGCCAGTTTTTCAGGAAGGTTCTGAAGAGAAAGGAAACTTATTAATGAATGCACTGTGATCCTTCAGGACAAAGGGACTTTGGTGGAGGAGCTGGGTCCACGCCCTGAGGAGGATGTCCAGGTGCCCTGCCTGGGAATTCTGGGCCGTGAAATTCAACCCATCCCGTCATGGGCTGGAGGGCCGCTATGTCCTGCCAGGAGCAGAGGTTAAAGTTTTGCCCAATGAAGAGTAACCATTGGCTGGGAGCATCTGCTGTCTACCCTGCCCCCAGTGTCACTGAGGGGTGGTGGCAGAGTCCAGAGTTTAGGGCCACAGAAGGGAGGGTGGGAAAGAGGACTAGGTGGCAGAAAGATCTTGCTTGGGGGGCCTGGACCTGCTACTCTCTCTCAGGGTGACTTTGGATAAACCTCTGCCCTGGGCCTCTGTTTTCCCATCTGTCTTCAAGGGGTTTTGGACTATCTCTGAGCTCCCTACCAGCCCTGAAGAGGAAGTGGAAAGTGCGGGGTGAGTGGGTGCACAACCCCCTGACTGATCCTACACCCTAGGCTGGAGTGAGGGCTCTATTTCCCTCCTGCTGTGTGTCCTGGGCAGTTAAATAGCCTCTCTGAACCCTGGCGCTTATGGCAGTGGATATACTAACATATTTCTAAGCCCCAAACGGGGCATCAGGGGTCCCCCAGTTCTCTAGAAGGGTCCAGGTCCTCGGGTCAGGGATGTCATGGGGTGGAAGCATTTTCTTCTTTCCTTTGGAGGATGCGAAGTCACTGGGGAGCCCATGGGCCCTGATGTCCCAGCAGCTTCTGCCTAGAAAGCCCAGGCACCTACTGGGTGACACACGTATGTAGACTTCCCTCATGTCTCCCCAGCTTGAGCCCTGTCCCCTCTGTGGGGTCAGCCCTCCCAGGACCCCCTCCACTCCCCTCTAGACCTGCAGCTGTCTGTTTGATGACAACCTCTGTTGAGCCTCCTGGGCTTGGGGAATGACACAGGGGTGAAAGCTGCCTGTCCCCAGGGCTCCCTTCCTGGGCAGGCAGGACACTGACCCACAGTCTCTGGGAGGGGGACCCCCATGGAACCCACTGTCAGGCGACCACAGGGAGGCATTGGGCTGGTCCTGGAGTGCAGGGCAGGATCTGGGCAGGAGGAATTTGGGGCACTACAGCAGGAGGGCCCAGCCTGAGAAAGGTACAGGGGGAGGTCTGGGGCCCAAGTGGGTTGGTTTGGTTCACGGTGACTAAGCAGCAGCTCTCAGTGGGCCTCAGCAGTAGCAGTGAGGACTGTCCTATCATCCGCTGGGGGATTTTGTGGCCCATTTTTAAGCTCCTATGCCTCAGATGGGTGGAAGGGCAGAAGGGCAGCCTAAGACATTAGCCCCTGATGTCATCGATCTGTGTGGGCAGGACAGTGGGACAAGGAAGTTGGAGGAGGCCAAGGTTCAGGGGGCAGAGGCCAGGCCAGCATCACACGGCCCTGTGGCAGTAGAGTGGGCCCTGATTCCTGGGCACAGCCCCTCCCACTAAATCTCACTGGGATGCCTAGCTCAGGGCACCCCTGCATCAGCGGGAGCAGAGGACCTGAAGAAATGGTTCAGGGCAGATAAGCAGAGCCCCGAGTGGCTGCTGCTGGCCAGAGAGAGGGTGGGACCTCTGGACCCAGGAAGGGCAGCGAGGACTCTGGTGCTGCCCCAGTCAGTTACTGCCCTGGCTATGAGCATGAAGGACTTGAGTGGACCACAGGACTGGGAGGGCCAGAGCCAGCCAGGCCCAGCTCAGGTGTCCCTTGGCAGATAGCAGCTCAGCCCTTGGCTGCTGGCAGGTAGCTTTGATGGCTTCTGAAAGGCAATTCCTGCTCAGAACAAGCTGCAGTTTTCTCTGGGATGCAGCACGTTGGTTTATATGTTCAGTTCATTAATTCCACCAATCTGTTTCTAAGGCAAACCTGGCTGCAGTCAGTTCTGCCCTTCCCCCCAGGCCCACCCAGGTACCCAGTGTTCCCAAGGACCCTGAACCCCAACCCTAATTAAGCGTTCAGGGGCGAGAACCTCTGTGCCCCAGATGTCTGTTAAGGAGGACAATGAAGGCCGGGCTGGCCATTCTTGCTTGGTCTCATCAAAAGCCAGCACTGGGGAACAGCCCCCACCTCCTCAAGGTTACTGTGACCTCACACCTGGAGCCCCAAAGGGACTCTGTGCTGTTGGGGTGACCTGGAGGTGGCCCTGAGGGTGGGGGAACAAGGCCTGTCCCCTCCTCTGGCCTTGGTGACATGAACCTGGTTCCTGGGCTCTGCCCTGCCGTGCCTGGGCCCTCGCTATGCCTTCTTTGTCTGCTATTTCACCCCATGTTACCGTGATTTTCCTACTGTGAGTTTCTCTTCTGATTTCTTCACCAACTTTAAAATACTATTTTGAGAGCAGTTTCCTAAGTACCTCAATTTCACCCCATGTTACCGTGATTTTCCTACTGTGAGTTTCTCTTTCTTCTGATTTCTTCACCAACTTTAAAATACTATTTTGAGAGCAGTTTCCTAAGTACCTCAAATCCTGTTCAGAACAAGGATGCTTCCTGGAAGTCAGGAGGGAGGGAAAGCAGGCTTAGTCCTGGCCCATATGTGAGAAGTGAGTAACTAGTGGAGCCGTCTCACTGCGGTGATTAGCTTTGCCCTGATGCTTTTAAAAATCAAGGTATAACCTACATATAGTAAAATGCACAGACTTTCCATGTGTAGTTTGATGAGTTATGACAAACGTATACACTGGAGCCGTCTCACTGCGGTGATTAGCTTTGCCCTGATGCTTTTAAAAATCAAGGTATAACCTGCATATAGTAAAATGCACAGACTTTCCATGTGTAGTTTGATGAGTTATGACAAACGTATACACATGCACGACCAGCACCCCAAGTGAGAGGTGAGGAGAAATTTCCATCTTCAGTGATGTTTTACCATAATTTCCTTCTAAGATTCATGCTCACTGTAGAAGACATGGATTGTGCCAAGTCCACGGCAGGGAGTGGCAGGGCCTGTGCCATGGAAACACTGATGGTGCTGCTCGACTCCACTGTGTGGCTCCCGGAGGTGGGGTCCCTAAATGCTCAAGTAAAGAGGCCCACTAATTGCTGTCATCTGTCCCCCCGCCGACAACAACTGCTAGCACTTTGGTGTATTTTTCTTCCAGTTTTTCCTATGCATATGTATTAAATATATTGGTTTTTTTAGTGCATATTTTTACATACGTGAAATCAGATCACTTACGCAATTTAGTATTTTTAACCTTTCCTCATATTGTAAAACACTTTGTAGACATGATTTTTAAGAAGTCTTTGGTGTTTATTTTATATTTGGTTCGACCAGTGTTGATACCATAAAGAGTTAATGCTCGAAAGAACTGACTTTAAAATGTAAATTTTATTTATTTTTGGAATAATTAATACATTTACTTAGCTCAAAATTCAAAAGACAGAAAGAGGTGTGTAGTTACAGGCAACCATTGTGACTAGCTTCCTGTCAGAAGTGGAGAACTTGTTTCTTTCTGCCCTGGCTGTGCCCCCCTGGAACTATGAAAAAATTTAAACCTACCCAAAGTTAGAAGAGTACGCTGAACAGCCTCCAACACCTGCATTCTCTCTCTCCCCCTCTCTTGCTCCTTCTCTGTATATTTCCTACAAAACCACCTTATCATGCCACGCCCAAGAAATTCCACGTTGACACAAGATCGCGTGTGGTGCCGCCACGGCACGCTTCCCTGCACACGCTTGCTCTTTACCAGCCGCGTGCTCTCCCATCACAGGACTGCTCAAGATATCGTCAGTGTGCCCAGGCCCCAGGTAGTTTTCAGAGTTTCCCAATTATAAATAAGGCTGGGCTTATCTTTTCCCCGATTTAGGATTTGCTACTGAGGACAGATTTCCACAAGTGGAGTTGCAGGGTGTGAGCTTTTCAGGCCACCCATGGGCTGGCTGCAAGGACTTTCCCAGGAGGGCGGGGGTGTTCACAATCGGCAGTCCTGCTCTTGTGAAATGCCCTTTCATCTCTGTCCACACTTGAGTCTTCAGTGTTCCTCCTACTGGTTTGGACAAGTTTTTAAGGTAAATATTCAACATCAATGTCATATTTGTTGCAATTATTTTTCTTTGATTTTATGTGGGTTTTTTAATTTATAGAATTTTTATATTTTGAAGAAATGACAGGTACATACTTATTTTCCTCTGTGGCTTTCCCTGTCACCTTTGAGTTCAAGAAGTCCTTGCCATCCAGAAATCAAATCCTGTTTTTCTCCCGTTTTAAGGTTCTTTAATCCATTTAATATTATTTTGCCCACACAACTGTGAAATCGCCCTCCGCACCCACATCTGCACTATCTCCTTCACTGTGTTAACTCCCTGCAGACCGTGCTGGGCTGCTTGGTGTCACTGGGCCCATGCCATACTTGGTGTGCTGGTCCCAGCTGGGGCTCCCACCTATCATCATTCTTGGCAAGTCTCACCTGTTTCTTCCCAGGACCAACAGGACAGTAAGGTGGCATCAAACAGCATACGTCTAGAGTTCCACAGAGCTAGGTCCAAATCCCAGTGCTCCCTGTGTGACCGTGAGCAAGTTACTTAACCTTTCTGAGTCTCATGGGGTTCACAGTATCCACCTTGCAGGGCTTGAGGAAGGAGGATGAGTAGCTGTGAGGCCCACGGAGCATGTCTGGCGCAGCCAACGGGTGTCTATGGGCTCTAAAGTTTTGTGAATTCCTCCTTGCCTCCCCCCAACAAAAAAATCCTAAGTGGTAATTTTGAGTGAAATTGAGTTAAAACCTGTAATTTCCTTTAGAAAAGACTGACGTCTTTGCACCATGTATTTAGTCTTCCGTCCAGGAATGTGAGACATACCTTCCCTTATTCAAGTTTTCTTTTATGTCTTCTGTAAAGCTGCGCCATTTCTTGGCATGAGTCTGATATTCCTTGTTCAGGGTGCTATGTTGTGCGTCTTGCTGCTGATCTGGATGTGATCTTTTTTTGCATGTTAGTTTCCA